CGCCCCGCCCCCCTCCGGGCAGGAGCCGGAGGCCGGCCCCTCACTGAATGAAAGAAATTCCGCTACTCCCATTGGCCCGGGGCTGGGCGCCTTCGGGGGCTCCCGCTTGGGGGTTTCCCTTCCGGGTGCCCACGCGTCGAGCTGGCCCAGCGAGTATGCGTCTGTGCGAGCACCCGAGCCGGCGCCTGTGTGCACTGGGGGAGGAGGGGGATTTGCAGGAAGGGCTCAGAACCTTTTGGCGAGCTTTACCTGGAGCCAGGTACTTTTCGCACCGCGCTCCCTGGTAGAGGCAGTTGTTCTCCCGAATGGAGCACGGGGCTGAGAGGCTCCCCCACCCTCATCCCCTACTGCTTTGGCCAAATCAAAATTGTTGTCTTGGCCTCAATTTCTTGTTTGTAAAATGGGGATGAAGCCTGTCTTGCGTTCTTCACAGACACATATAGATCCTAGGCGATAGTGCATTTTAAATACACAAATCGCAAGTGATCAGCAGGATGAATTTTTCACAAGTGAACACAATACCTGTGTAACCAGTACCCAGGAGACAAGGTAATGGGGAGGGGAGCACACCCCAGAAGCCCCTTTAAGTCATTTCCTGTCCTCAGGGAAATTAATGCCTCTTAAAATACAAGGAGAAACTCGATGTAATGTAAAGTATTTTTCTTATCAGGGTATTTGCTGTTTTGGCTGTTGATTACAATAATAATAGCTCATTGTATAGGTTCATTACTATGGGCAAGGCGATGTTGGAAACATTACAAAGATTTTAGTCATTTAATTCTCACAACAACCCTGATTAGGTACTATTATCTCTATTTTACTGATGAGGAAACTGAGGCACAGGAACTTGCCCTTTCAATTTGCTGTTGAAATGAAAATAGTGCTGAGGGTGCTAAAATACTAAAACAGAGGGGCATAATAAACTAGTATGGATGTTCACCCCTAACAGCTAGAAAGAGGTATGTAGGTCAGAGCACATCCTTTGGGGCAGTGATTTTTCATAATGTGATCCCATTTGGCCTGCTGAATCAGTGTTATGGGGTAAAGGCCCCCGACTCCATACAACACAACTTTGGAGGTAAGTATAATTGTTACCACCGGTTTTCAGATAAGAACACTGAGGCACAAAGGCATTAAGTAACTTGCCCAAGCTTGTAGTTAGTGGCAGAGGCGTAATTTGAACCCAGCCAGTTTGGGGAAAGGGTATGTGTGTGTGTAATGAGAAGCAAAGGAAATGGGACAGCAGGCAGGAGATGGGTGATCAGCTTCCACAGATGCTCAGCACCTA